TAGCAGCGCATTACATACGTCACCACCAAATAGCAGCAACTGGTTCATTTAAAAAAAGTACCATCCTACCAATCAGAACTCTTGCCCTTAGGGCAAATTATGAAATGTGTCTGTCATTTTCAATAATGTATATATAAATATAAATATATAAGTTATTTTAAATTTAATACAATTTTTGTCCTCTCTGGGTGGGTGGAGAGTCCGTGCCTGAAGTGGAGGAGTTCAAGTATCTCAGGGTCTAGTTCACGAGTGAGGGGAGGATATCGGTGCAGAGTCTGCAGTGATGCGGTCACTGTATTGGACCGTTGTGGTGAAGCTGAGACGAAAGGCAAAGCTCTCGATTTACCGTATATATATATATATATATATATATATATATATATATATATATATATATATATATATTTAAACAGTCCCTGACAAAAGTCTTGTCTGTCTCCATGGTAACAACTCAACATTCCAACATATCGTATTCCATGTTCTATCACCGTGGCGACAGCTGTTATGTCATAAAGGTTGGCCAGAGTATATATATGCCTGGACTTGAACTGAAAAACTTCATTCTAGACTGAATCTCACAGCGAGAGACATGTACCAAAACGGCAGAAAAAACAACTATCCAACCATGAGGGCAACGGCTCAGGCTACCGCAGGGGGTGCCTCTCCTCTACCCGAGGAGAGCCCACTTGTGAAGGACCTGAGACGGCGACTTCAGGAGGTCCAACGAGCCCATCAAGACCAACTCCAAGTCAATGCTAAACAGACAAGGAGACTGAGAGAGTTAGAGGAGGTGTTACAGCAGAAAGTAAACCTCGAGAAGAAGTTTGAGGAGCTCCAGAAAGAGCTGAGCCAAGCTCGAGAGGAAAAGGAGGCAATGATAGAGTTTGGGGAATATCTGCTCGAAGAAAAAGACAAGGAAAGAGATCAAATGTTAAAGAAGGGTAGACAGATGGTAAACCAGTATGTGGAGGGCCTCTACCAGGACAACGAAAATCTTAAGAGGTTCTCCCAAGAACAGCAGAGTCTCGCCAGCAAAAACCAAGAAAAGGTGAAGCAGCTGGAACAACAACTGAAACTGCAGAAGGCAAACAGACACTACTATAACTCTGACCTCTTTGAGGAGCTAAAGTCTGCCCAAAACACCGTCAAGAACTTGAAGGTGACCAGTATGAAGAACACACAGGAACTTGAAGAGTGTATAGAGCAGAACAGGGCGCTGAAGAATACTCTTCAGGAGCTCCAGAGAACCCACCAGGAACAACTCCACATCAGTCGAAAACAGACATGGAGACTGAGGGAGTTACAGCAGGTGGTTCAGGAGAACGAAGCCCTCCAAAAGAAGCAGGCTCTCCAGAGGACTATCGAGGAGCTGAACACGACTCTGAAACACAGTGAGCAGGAGAAAACCTCTGCTCTCCTCAGATGTGAAGAGCTGCAGCTGTCCCTGCCCAAGTCAGATGATCAGCTGCAGCAGATCAAAGTCAAAGCGGAGGAGCTCCAAGTCCAAGTGTACTATAAAAACAAGAAGAAGAAGAAGAGGAGGAGCTGTTTAGGTGGTGACAGTCATCAGTCTCCAGTCTGAATCCTGTGTCTGTGTATCACCACACACAGGTCCTGTAAATACATTGTAAATAAAGAAGTAATTTAGCAATTTCAAATAAGTCTGAATGTTTTTGTTTTTTAATACAGATTGTTTAGAATCCAGAGCAACACATGGCAAATAAGCTCTGCCCATATTTTTGGGAGACTTTTTATTATTTTCCCTCAACTTTTCAAATTGAAATTGACTACAAACTCACCTACACACTGTATTTGACCACTTCATACTTTTCATCTAGCGAGCTTTTCATATAGCTAACTCTAAGTGTTCAGTTAGTCTGTCCCAGGGCAACTGTGGCTACAGACGCCTTCCGCCACCTAAGTGCAGGAAGCTGTATTTGTTTCCATGTGTCACTCTGCATCGTGGATCTGCTTCAAAAGGTCCATGTGAGTTTAGAACAAGGATGGGCAAACGTTTTGACTCGTGGGTCACAAAGGTTCTAAAATTTGACAGAAGGGCCGGACCAGGAGCTGATTTTTTGTTAATCCACCTCATAAAAGAAAAAAAAAAAAAAAAAAACTATGGCTAGGCTATGTCGAAAACATATCCCATGTTATTGAAATATCCCATAATTGGAAATCATTACAACAAAATATGTGTCTTTCAAGTGTCACGGTATTTACTATTTACTGAAATGACTTTTAAAACACTGAAAATGATGATTATTATTACTTATAATTCAAGTTGGGAGGGCCGGATTAAAAAGATTAAAGGGCTGCATATGGCCCCCGGGCCGTAGTTTGCCCACCCCTGGGTTAGAAAGTATGGCTTGTCCTCATAGCAAAAATATGACAATAACTGACAATGATTAATATAAAAGTTCTCCCCGTTAGCAGCGCATTACATACGTCACCACCAAATAGCAGCAACTGGTTCATTTAAAAAAAGTACCATCCTACCAATCAGAACTCTTGCCCTTAGGGCAAATTATGAAATGTGTCTGTCATTTTCAATAATGTATATATAAATATAAATATATAAGTTATTTTAAATTTAATACAATTTTTGTCCTCTCTGGGTGGGTGGAGAGTCCGTGCCTGAAGTGGAGGAGTTCAAGTATCTCAGGGTCTAGTTCACGAGTGAGGGGAGGATATCGGTGCAGAGTCTGCAGTGATGCGGTCACTGTATTGGACCGTTGTGGTGAAGCTGAGACGAAAGGCAAAGCTCTCGATTTACCGATATATATATATATATATATATATATATATATATATATATATATATATATATATATATATATATATATATATATATACAGTCCCTGACAAAAGTCTTGTCTGTCTCCATGGTAACAACTCAACATTCCAACATATCGTATTCCATGTTCTATCACCGTGGCGACAGCTGTTATGTCATAAAGTTGGCCAGAGTATATATGCCTGGACTTGAACTGAAAAACTTCATTCTAGACTGAATCTCACAGCGAGAGACATGTACCAAAACGGCAGAAAAAAACAACTATCCAACCATGAGGGCAACGGCTCAGGCTACCGCAGGGGGTGCCTCTCCTCTACCCGAGGAGAGCCCACTTGTGAAGGACCTGAGACGGCGACTTCAGGAGGTCCAACGAGCCCATCAAGACCAACTCCAAGTCAATGCTAAACAGACAAGGAGACTGAGAGAGTTAGAGGAGGTGTTACAGCAGAAAGTAAACCTCGAGAAGAAGTTTGAGGAGCTCCAGAAAGAGCTGAGCCAAGCTCGAGAGGAAAAGGAGGCAATGATAGAGTTTGGGGAATATCTGCTCGAAGAAAAAGACAAGGAAAGAGATCAAATGTTAAAGAAGGGTAGACAGATGGTAAACCAGTATGTGGAGGGCCTCTACCAGGACAACGAAAATCTTAAGAGGTTCTCCCAAGAACAGCAGAGTCTCGCCAGCAAAAACCAAGAAAAGGTGAAGCAGCTGGAACAACAACTGAAACTGCAGAAGGCAAACAGACACTACTATAACTCTGACCTCTTTGAGGAGCTAAAGTCTGCCCAAAACACCGTCAAGAACTTGAAGGTGACCAGTATGAAGAACACACAGGAACTTGAAGAGTGTATAGAGCAGAACAGGGCGCTGAAGAATACTCTTCAGGAGCTCCAGAGAACCCACCAGGAACAACTCCACATCAGTCGAAAACAGACATGGAGACTGAGGGAGTTACAGCAGGTGGTTCAGGAGAACGAAGCCCTCCAAAAGAAGCAGGCTCTCCAGAGGACTATCGAGGAGCTGAACACGACTCTGAAACACAGTGAGCAGGAGAAAACCTCTGCTCTCCTCAGATGTGAAGAGCTGCAGCTGTCCCTGCCCAAGTCAGATGATCAGCTGCAGCAGATCAAAGTCAAAGCGGAGGAGCTCCAAGTCCAAGTGTACTATAAAAACAAGAAGAAGAAGAAGAGGAGGAGCTGTTTAGGTGGTGACAGTCATCAGTCTCCAGTCTGAATCCTGTGTCTGTGTATCACCACACACAGGTCCTGTAAATACATTGTAAATAAAGAAGTAATTTAGCAATTTCAAATAAGTCTGAATGTTTTTGTTTTTTAATACAGATTGTTTAGAATCCAGAGCAACACATGGCAAATAAGCTCTGCCCATATTTTTGGGAGACTTTTTTTATTATTTTCCCTCAACTTTTCAAATTGAAATTGACTACAAACTCACCTACACACTGTATTTGACCACTTCATACTTTTCATCTAGCGAGCTTTTCATATAGCTAACTCTAAGTGTTCAGTTAGTCTGTCCCAGGGCAACTGTGGCTACAGACGCCTTCCGCCACCTAAGTGCAGGAAGCTGTATTTGTTTCCATGTGTCACTCTGCATCGTGGATCTGCTTCAAAAGGTCCATGTGAGTTTAGAACAAGGATGGGCAAACGTTTTGACTCGTGGGTCACAAAGGTTCTAAAATTTGACAGAAGGGCCGGACCAGGAGCTGATTTTTTGTTAATCCACCTCATAAAAGAAAAAAAAAAAAAAAAAAACTATGGCTAGGCTATGTCGAAAACATATCCCATGTTATTGAAATATCCCATAATTGGAAATCATTACAACAAAATATGTGTCTTTCAAGTGTCACGGTATTTACTATTTACTGAAATGACTTTTAAAACACTGAAAATGATGATTATTATTACTTATAATTCAAGTTGGGAGGGCCGGATTAAAAAGATTAAAGGGCTGCATATGGCCCCCGGGCCGTAGTTTGCCCACCCCTGGGTTAGAAAGTATGGCTTGTCCTCATAGCAAAAATATGACAATAACTGACAATGATTAATATAAAAGTTCTCCCCGTTAGCAGCGCATTACATACGTCACCACCAAATAGCAGCAACTGGTTCATTTAAAAAAGTGTCCTCCTACCGTCGAGCGAACGAATCCTAATGCTGCTCACACAGTTTCCATGAAGTGATGAATCAGGCTGGGTTTTCCCCGAGTCCCAAATGCAATAGAATGCGGCATATGAGTCAGATCTGTGGAGATGCAAGCCTGTGTGAAGACCACAGACTGTACAGACTTTTAAAGGGCCCATCTCATGCAAAATAACTCTTTTCACATTGTATCTTCTGCACATAAACAAGCACTATTTGGGTAATAGTTTTATGTTCCTCCCCTCACCTCTGGTCATGAGCTCTGGTTAATGACCTAAAGGACGAGATGGCGGATACAAGCGGTCCAAGTGAGTTTCCTCCACAGGGTGGCTGGGCGCTCCCTTAGAGACAGGGTGAGGAGCTCAGTCACACAGGAGGAGCTCGAAGTAGAGCCGCTGCTCCTCTACGTCGAGAGGAGCAGTTGAGGTGGCTCGGGCATCTGTTCCGGACGCCTCCTGGAACGCCTTGGGAGGAACTGGAATAAGTGTCTGGGGTGAAGGAAGTGTGGGAGTCCCTGCTTAGACTGATGCCCCCGTGACCCAGCCCCAGATAAACGGAAGAAAATGGATGGATGGATAGATAGATTTTAACATTATGTCCATTTTTTTTTTTTTTTTTTTTTTTCTCTAGGGGCATATACAAAATGATGAAATATACACTTAAATACACCAGAAAATCTACACATTTTGTATTCCATTATATTTTCATTTTTTTGAGCATTTGAAGAGTGAAAAACATCACCGACCCGTTAACAGAAGAGCTTCATGTCCGTGCTCGTCCATCCTCAGATCTGCAGCGTCATTCCCAGTCGTCCTTTTACACAGTGTCTGGAAAAGCCTGATCTTTTCCACATCTGCTCCGTGGAGTGAACGGCTCATTTACACTGATGACATCCACACAGCCTCGTTACACGTGTTAATATTCACCATTAATGACTTTGTCGAGCACAGATTGAGTTATAGATCCAGAGTGACAGGAGCTGAGCACATGTGATGGACTCTAATATGAAACAGGTGCACGGACCAATGACAGGTGCGACAGGTGTGACAGGGCCGCTTCGGGGGGGTGCAGTGCTGTGACGGTCTCCTCCCTCTCTCTCCTTTTCGCTTTCGCCCTGTTTTTCTCTTACTCTCACTCTCCTCCCTTTCTCACGCTCTCTCCCTTTCCTCCTTCCCCCTCCCTTTTTCTTTCTCACTTTATCTCTTCCTCTTACTCTCCTTCCTTTCAGTCTTACTCTCTCACTCTCCACCAGGGTATCCCCAAGTTTGACTACCCCAAATTTAAGACTTTTTAAAGACCTGTTTAAGACCACTTAAATGAAAATTAAGATCAACATCACACCCATTATGCAGGCAAAAAACACCAGATTTAATTCTAATAATGACCAACCAACTACGATATCAACAACAGGGCTGCCCACACTTTTTCAGCACTCGAGCTACTTATAAAATGACCAAGTCAAAATGATCTACCTACAACAAAGCCAAAAAAAACTGTTCTGCACTGAAATACTCAGCCCCCCCACCCCCCTTTTTTTTTTCAGACGTTGAGTGGAATTAAATAAGGCGATTTAATGTGTTTTCCATGTAAACCTCAATTCGGAATTATTATTTCCATGTAAATTCGAAGGA